TTGAGTCGGGCTAGACTGCCGTTTGTCGGCGATGTTCAGCTTAACATAATGTCATTTTCCACTTGCGATCTGATGCGTTATGGCATCCACCACTCAGATTACGGAATGTGTATGTTGAGTAGGTGCCATGAAACGTGTTGACATTAGTGGCGGATATCCATGAAACGTGTTGGCATTAGCGGCGGATATCCATGAAGCGTGTTCACATCACCGGCGGATATCCATGAAACGTGATGACATTAGCGGCGGGTATCAGTGAAACGTGATGACATTAGCGGTGGATATCCATGAAACGTGATGACATTACCGACGGATATCCACGAATTGAATGTACATTTGAGGTTGTGATCCTACCGCATTGTTCTTGAGTTTAGCAATTTACATGATGACTGTTGTGGCCTTAACCTAAGATTCATTTGGTGTCTTTTTTTTCCAACAGCATTTCCTTTAAGCGGCAACAATTTCGCAGCTTTGGCCTTGGCCTGGGGCTTATGGGAGGCGGGTGGTAGTGTTTTGGTTAAAGCACTACGACCTAAGACAGAATGCAAATCTTACTTAAGAGTTGCTTGCTGGGTTTGGAAAACAGATGTTTGGAGTAATATAATTCCCGAGAAGAAAAAGACCAAAAATAACTTGGTTTTGTAGCTCCATTTTTTATGGCTGTTCGTTCTCATCAGTGAGTGTCATTAGCACCACTCGGGTACAAAGTTGTTGATTTGGGCTTTGTTCTTGACTTGCATTCATTCCATGGGCTGTTTAGCATCTCTTTTGCATCGCTGGTCAGCAGTGAAATGTCGGCGAAGATCCCCGGTATCTCGGGAGCCCAGATCGATATGACAAGCAGGACGGTAGAGGAGTTTCGTTTCGCGGCGTGAATAGCGATGAGATTTTCTGAGCGTCACCGAACTCTAGCACTTGCGACGCTCCGTTCCATGCAACTTTGGTGGAATTATGTTTGTTTCCTGTCCTGTGTCGAAGCTCAGCAAGGCGGAACCGAAGCTCTCCTCCTCATATCATACAACGGAATCACACGCCAGGACCAGTCCGTATTAGGACACGCCCCGGGTTACGGCTCCCAGCCACCTCGAGGCGCCTGACCTAGCTTAGCTGACGGTCGGGCATATCGGGAGTCGGCCCCACCGACGGCTGCCTTTACCTGCCACGACGCTGTGCGAGATTGGGGACTTGGAATACAACTCTGAGCCCTGTCGAACGTCCGTTTTTCGTTCATCTCCGACAGCAAAAAAGTCCTTTCATACGGTATCAAGCATTAAAGGAATTGTAATGGTGATTTTTTGCTTCGCTCCCATACCGACTGTACATACCTGATCAGTTATGCCGGTGTTGGAGCTGTACATGCTTTGGTACATGTCAGTGTGCTATTGCTGGCACCAGGACATATTTGCTCTTCTATACTCGTTGAAAGCCGGTGCCAGTTGTTGCAGCAGCCAAATGCTGCAGGTTCTAAGCCGGTAACGCACCTTTGCCTATGTTGTCTCATCTACACGGATGCTAGTCTCGGCTTTCTACTGTGACTATTACATCTAATTTTATAATATGCGTTCCAAGACATATTCCCAGAACATATTTATGTTCAGTTATTTAAAACGGTCGCCAAGCACACACAAAACATAACGTAAGAAACGTTCACCTGTGACCTGAGGTCAAATTATGTCGGTATTACCCGCGCGCCCAAAATTTTCGTAAGAAGCGGATCTTTGAAGGGGCACCATTGGTTTCACGAGGGCGCAGAATGACCAAAGTAGCAAACGGGGCCTTAACCCATGAATGTATCATCTGGGTGTCACTGCATTTTAGGGGGTCATTGAAAGATTCCTGATCTCACAGACCGAGGGCTAACATGGCACGCCTCGGTGGCTGGCATGTCAGCATAAACGTCAAATCTTGCGCCTCAGAATCTAGCGTTCTCATGTGGAACCTGGTGTTTTTGTCTTAATATTATTGTCTGGACTTTGCTTAAGCGATAGGACGACTTCTTGTTTGTTTAGATTTAGTCCAAACCTTTAGAATGCATGGATTTCTGGGATCAGAGTCACGTTTAACAGTGCCTGTTGTGTGAGCCCTGACCCCTACTATCCGATCGTGTAGCTCCAGGTCAACGGCAGAATTTGGCGAGGACAGCAGAGCATGCCGCAACGCTTGGCACGGCCCGTCCGGTCCTCTTTCGTCCTGTGGCCTGTAGCGCGGCCGCTGACGCCGGACCCAGGTTATGCCTGTCAAGGGCAAATAGTGAGCGCCTAAAGTGACTCGAACCCACCCCGCCACGACTGGCCGGATCGGAGGTCAGATGCTCTGACCAACTGAGCCGACGGGACGGACAATTTTACGGTATTTCATCACCTAACAAAATAAAGCAACATCCTGCATTTCATTTCCACCGAATGGGTAGCTACGCACTCAGACAAAAACTCAGTCGGATAATTTAGGTATTCGGTGTGGTTATAGACTATCACCATGAAGTTCAAACACCGAGGTAGGGTGGCCTTTACTTGTGATATGATATACCAGGAGTCCTTGCTGTTGGGTATAGTGGGGACACTTTGATATTGTTTGCATTGGAAGCATTTCTTAACTTGAAATGTGATCTGAACTTAAAGGTTATAGCTCATTCCCGTACAACAATGCTAGATCCAGTCTGCTCACCTTCCACCTAGTATACAAATCTCAAGCCTGGATCAAGTCCAGGGAAGCAAACAAATTTTCGTAATCAACGACCTCAAACTATCAAATTTCGGTCTAGTTCAACATAGCATGGCGCATTAAGTATCTATGGGCAGCATGTCTTCTTAGCCTGGTTTTCCTTGGCAGCCTTCGGTCCGTTTCAAGTCGATCGTGCCGGTCAGTTTTTCAACGCATTCCGTCCTTAACACGCATCGTTTTGAATGTGTCCGATACGATGATCAAATTCTTAGGATTCAAACTCAGAACAACCTAAACTCAAACTTTTTACCCCCCCCCCCCGCCCCCCTCACACACATAAGTCGCAGATGGCTTTGTTGTGTCACCTGGTGGCCGTTCGAGTCCTGCTACCGCGGCGTATACAGGCATGGCTTGAATGGTGTGAGCAAATCCAGACTGCCGCAAACGCCTTGTTTACTTTATTGTTTTTCAAGCTTCCCGATGAAAATTTACCTTGTTTACGCATGGGCTACAAGATACCAAAGTCCCAAGGCGCCAGAAGGTCACCAATATAGCCTTTCAAGTAAGCTTTATAACCCGATGTGGTCAGCGATGGCCAACAATATCCCAGGGAGTGACGCACTCCGTCGCCTTTGGCGGCGGATATGACGCTGTTCCACACATTTTCACCACTTTGCATACTCTCCGTCGGTGCGTTGCATCCTCTCCATTCACCGGTGACAAATTACCGGACGACGCTGCCGTTTGGAGGTGACCCCCCCGCAGCACCGGCCCACACCTGCTTGGGAGCGGCGCTCGCGCCAGCGAGGCGTCAGTGCTCGCCAATTGGACCCGGCTCCGGACGACAGCCAGGATCAATGCTGAGTTCCGCCGCGGCTGAATGATCGGCCTGTTAGAATTGTCTGTTGGACCGCAAAGTGGGTCGCCGGCTTTTAACAGAGGGCTCGGCAGCCGTGGCGGTGTTGTGGCGTTACTTTTATTGAAAGTAAGCATCCGCTGAAGTCATCAACAGCACTGATCGTTCAGTTGCTGTGTACATCACACTATTCACTGGAAAATGAATGGCGTGATTGCTCTTTCCATTCTTGCGTTTTGTCGTGGCGTTTGTTTTTTTTTTTACCCACTGAAAAAGCAAATAAGGCCACAACTCGGCTCGCCAGCATTTTTGATCGGTTAGTGTATATCGCTGATCATCTTTGCCGATATTTAACGGTTGACATTTTTACCTTTGAAGATCAAATTTCCTAATGTCCGCGAAATGCGTTTGTGTGACGAGTCAGAATGGCATGCGCTGTCTTTGGCACAAGTTTCAACAAAATCGAAGAGGTGTGGATTGCTGCCGAATCTGAATATCAAACTGCAGCTGACTCACACACGTTTGACCCCAAAGCCCAGGGTCACACTACCTGTGATGTCAACATGCCTCTATCGTCGAGCGTGTCTCCGCAGCCCTTCCGAAAAAAACTGCGCATACAAGCACACCCTCCAACACGCAGCGCGCAGTCGGTGTGCTGGCGTCACGGCGAGCGCGGTGGCTCGTGATGGTCACCTGTCCGAGTGACGCGTCACCGCAGCGTGTTCCGGACAGGTGGACCTCGCCCGTGAGTCAGCGCGGCGGCTCGTGATGGTCACCTGTCCGAGTGACGCGTCACCGCAGCGTGTTCCGGACAGGTGGACCTCGCCCGTGAGTCAGCGCGGTGGCTCGTGATGGTCACCTGTCCAGGTGACGCGTCACCGCAGCGTGTTCCGGACAGGTGGACCTCGCCTGTGAGTCAGCGCGGTGGCTCGTGATGGTCACCTGTCAAAGTGACGCGTCACCGCAGCGTGTTCCGGACAGGTGCACCTCGCCCGTGAGTCAGCGCAGTGGCTCGTGATGGTCACCTGTCCAAGTGATGCGTCACCGCAGCGTGTTCCGGACAGGTGGACCTCGCCCGTGAGTCAGTCACAGCACCTGCCAATGCGATCATTAGCGCCGCTGGCGATCTGACCGGCCCACCTCGGCTGCACGCGAGCGCTGGTCCCTCCCTGGTCTGCGACCGATCCGTGCTGACAGAATCATTGCGTGCATTTTGCACATGCTACGCCTCTATCCATTCAAGCCTAATTGCTCACTTCGTGGACAACAGCTGCTCGCAGTTGGAAGGTGAGAAGTAATGCCAGCAAATATATCACGTACGCTTATTGCACTCACTAGGAACCATAAACAAAAGCCTTGCTCAAAGCATTCATCCCCAAGAATACAAAGCCTGGCCAAATATTCGGGCGCGCAGCCCGCCGCCTGGCGGCATGCAGGCGAAGCTGCCGCCTGCCGGCCGGGCGCCCGGCGCCCGCAGCTGGGTGGTTGGGGCGGCGCCGGGCCTCAGTTGGCGCGTGTCGACCGTGGTGTCAGCTGCCCCTCCTCTGCTTCCGGTGAGTCGGACACTGCCGGCCGTGTCCGGTACAGATTATGGACAGTGGGGAGCCGTGGTTGCAGTGCAGGGCGGCTGCGGGTCTCCTCTCGCGCGGCGAGAGTTGTGCCCGGCAGTGATACCAGATCACCGGATATCATCACTAATCATGGCACGTGTTTGACGGTTGACCAGTTATGCGACGCTAGTTAAGACTATGCTTAGTGGCATGGATGGCCTCGGTTTTGGACGGAATACCCAGTGGTGCAGTCAAAGGGTCTCATGGTGATTTAGCCATCATGAGCCCCCCCCCCCCCCCCCGCAGGTTCGAGCAGTGTTCACCACGACACCACTGAATATGATTTCGGAACCTGGTGATCAGGAAAACTAGTTTGACTTAAATTCGTATAGGTCCCCACCATGTACAGCGACAGGCAGTGTACAACAGCCGTGATTTGGTGACAGAACCAGCGGAAAGCCCGGTGAATGCGTACGGCACGTAGCTGAAACAATTGTTTAAGGCGCCAGGGCAAGCCAACGACAGCTCATCAAATGGGTACTGTGCCTATTGGCGTTTCTGGGGTCTGTCAGTCTGTTCTCTGTCCGTGGGTACTATCAACGGGGCAGCGGCTTGCTCGTAAAATTCGCCTTTCCTCTTCACAAATTACTGTGGCCCTCCCCCTGCCGTCGTCTAAAACCAAGGAAGCCGTCCCGTCCAGTCAGGCTGCGCTTCTGGAAACACCCATGTGGTCGCGTAGACTGGAAGTTTGGTGCAATCGTTTGGTCTGTTCGCTTCATAATTAGCGCTAATACGCTTTCGAATACGGTGCTTCGCATAACGACGATAGCTTTGAGCATAAGCTGCCCGTTCCAGGATCCGCCGGATAACATCCGGCTGTATGAGTATCTGTGCATTGTACCAGGCGCTTCAGAAGTCTCCCGGATGGGCAAGTGATCGGTATCGGCGGGCGGGAGCCCCACATCAGGTCATCGGCGTGAAGCCGTTACTGACGAACATCCAGTGGGGTCTAAGGCTCCTGGTGATCGCGAACAACTTGAACTATCATTTTTCGGTGGGAAGGGGCAGAGTTTTCACCCGATGCCATAGATTGGAATCGAGGGCTCACAGTTTCTGCTTCAGCATGTTTACTTTTCGACACAGTCCATTTTACCGTGTGCTTAACACACGAAATGATGCCGAAAAGGATAATTTTTTGCATGCGTCACCTTAAGAAGTAGTACCAGTTCTTACCTTGTGTCATGAAGCTTTTGGCATTTTGTCCACTGATATCGTGCCTTGAACTTTGGACGGCAGATGTACACTGCCAACTCCTGGCGGTGTGAGTCAGAAATGCAAGCTGCTTGAACTTTGGAGAGCCATGACTTCCTAACCGTGCCTTGATTTCCGCATGCACTTAGCTTCAGTAGCAGCCATGGTTTTGACAATAGTGGGTGATACCATGAGATATAGCATAATTTGTATGCTGTACGATTTATATAGGAGCATTCAACATACGAAAACAATTCCAGCAATGTTGAAAATGGGGTGATGTGATACTGAGGTGATAAGTGTATCATATGGCAATGTGGTAGGCCTTATGAACATTTTACAACATAAAAGGGCTTGCACAGCCTTGCCTTCTGGGCGAATTTTCATGGGCGCTAAATTCGCGTTATTAAAGCTGGTAAAACGGCGAATTATGATAACTACAAGATGCATGCTGTCTCATTTACTTAATGGCCTTGTTTAATTAGAAACAGCGTAGGTACCATGCAAACTTTGACAGAGATATATATCATGTAACCAATATCGCTCATGATTGATATAACCTTGGTTTGAAGTTGGCGCCGTTCGGAAGCATTGATTTGTGGCAGCGACAAGTAAATAAACAGCTTTTGACCTTGCCTTTTGTCAACTTTACCATTGTATCATGCCGCACGCATGAAAGACAACGTTAATAACGCGTCTTCCGTGTAAAATAATTGTCAGTCTTCACTGCTTCGAGACTTGACTCATAATGTTTTCTTGCCGCCTGAATCAGACAGAAAGAAAAACAGCGCTCTAGATACCAAGTCGTCTCCTAACACCCTGCCCAGCTCACGGCACGCGCTGCGGTCACGTTCCTCCCATACGCAACGCAATACCTTGGGAGGCCCCAGCAAGCCGGCGCCCGTGAGGTCACCCCCGCCCGCAGGTGTGGGGCAATTAGTGCTGACGGACGCCGCCGGCGCTGACACCGCCCGGCGTCGCGGTGTCCACGTCACGCGCGCCGTCCCGCGGCAAGGTAACCATGAGGCCGACCAGTCTGGTCGGCTCGCTCCGACCCCGCCCGGAACTGCCCCCGGCGACGGGCCCGCCGCCGCCGACGCCGTCCGGCCGCCGCCGGGTGTGAGGCGGCGCGGTGGGCGCCGGTGACGGCGCCGTGGCGTCCCTGGAAGGAATCCGGCCTCCGAGTCCGTTCGCGGAATCGTGTGACGCCCTGGGAATGTGGGATGTGATCCAGTGTGAGCGGAATCCGGCCTCGTTTGCGTAACGGGGTGGAGACGCCCTTAGCCGTGACCGCGCAACATGGTACTGAAAATCGTTTGATATTCTGAATGAAACGCGGCCTACAGTACCCTTGCGTACTCGATAGAATATTCCTACGGCGGTAAGGAACCGTCCATAAGCCACGTCACGCATGGAGGAGGAGGGGGTTTGATAGAGCATGATGGAAACATAGGACGGGTGGAAGCGGGGCTTAGTCAACGTAACTTCACGCTCAGGTGTGCTTCAAATCATGCTAAAAGCTTCCAAATAAATGAAAATCTCCCAGCTGGATACCGCCGGCTTCTTCTCATGGTAAGGGACACACCTGTTGGCTGTTTTTCATCTCTAGCACACCTGTTAGCTGTTTTTCATCTCTAGCACAATCAGAAGCCAAGCGGACGGTAATTTTGGAGTGTTACGTTACACAGTGAAACTTCGGGAAGGAGCAGCTCAAACAGCGCAATCGTTTTGCTCCCACGGGACGTAGGGTTGAAAATGGCTAAAAAGGCATATTTTAGGCTATGCACGGTCCCTGATGCTATTTGAGGCAAAACTATACTCGTTTCTACGGACGAAAGGACTGCCTTCGGTTACAAACAGTAGTCCAGTTCAGGTTTGAATTAAAGACTTGTCTAATTCAGGTTGAAATAGGCTTAGATAGGGCATAAAACTATTGTTGCTTTTGACACGCTATCGTTAGCAGCAGGACGGTATTTCCCCCTATTTCTGCCGACATTGCTCTAAAACGCAACGCTGTGTGCGTAAACCCCATTGTTAATTGTCGTTTGTTAAAACAATCGAGGTTTATGTACCCGAGAGTGATGAGCCATCGTATAAAAATGTTGTATGGTTCGGTGCTAAGTGTCATTCACTCTGCTGCTGAAAATGGCTTTCAGTGAAATTCGTTCACTTCGGACAAAGGTTAATGCATTGTTGAGCTAGCAAAACAACATTGCCAAAGCACTCACCGCTTCAGTCACAAGCAGATGCATGATTATTGGCTCTCTTCGGCCGTTGGGTTCATAATATCCTGGCTTTACTGCTGAACGACACCACGTGACACCGTATAAAGTGGCGTGACACTTGAATGCTCAATGGTTCAATATACGACGATGAAGGTTTATTCGCGCGAGACGATTGGTTTGCAGAATTCCAATTTCCTCGGGCCCATTACGCTTGATGCATTGAGGCCAAACTTCCCAAAGTACACTCTGCGGAGGGCGGTTCATGTGTCTTACTAAGTCATTAGCAAATCATTTGATTAGAGACAATTGTGGGAAATGCAGATGTGAATGAATTTGACGTTAAATGTTGCGTACCCGCCTCATTGGTATAGGATGTAATTGGTAAATGACAAATGATAGATTCTGTCCACCATCGTTGAAGAATTCACCTTGTTTGTCGTTGCAGACAGAAAGTTGGTGGAATGTAGATAGATGTATGCATACACACATATACATAGAAGTAAATGTATACATATGCATATGTATATACATATATATGCATATATATATATATATATATATATATATATATATATATAAACCAGCCCGCGGAAGTTAGTGGGTGACAGTAGTTCCGTGTATGGTCCAGCTTCAGGTACAGATTGTACCGGAAAAGGCGCCTAACACACGAGGACCCTCTATGAACAGCGCCAACCTACAAAGCATTGCGATTTTCATGAAAGAACACAGTCATGATTGGCAGATAATGTAGAGAAACAAATAATCCTCTGACTATTGTATGATCTAGTTGTTGTGTTGTTCCGAACGTTTCCAAATATTCTGAAAATTTTCTGCACTGAGCCTTACTTGCACTTGCTTTAGATATCGGTGCCTGTGAATGCATTGGCCAATCGATCAAATCAGACAGCTTTAGTAGCAGCGACAGATCCAGAGTTTCATCAAGGGAGAGGGCGCGCTTTATTGTGATGCCCTCTGAAACTTGGTGCCCCGTCCCTTCCCTCCCCCTCCCCCTCCCCCCCGCTCACAAAGAAGTCCCTGGACTTCGGTCACCTCATTTTTATATTGTTATTTTTAAGGAAAAATATATTCAGCCGCAACGGCCCGCCGTGCTTAGACCTCTTCATTCCTATATATCAACTGTTTTTCATTTTTATGTTAAGCTTGAAGATTAAGGCCATTTTGGTGACCCTGAACTTTGCCGCGTCTTCAAAGTAAAGACGATGTAGACCCGAATGAGGATTTTGGTGCCCCTTCACCACGAGACTGTGGTGCCCTTTCAGTCCAAGGGGGATCATGGCTCCATTTCCTCATACCCTGTCTGGCCCCGCCACTGGCTAGTATGAAATCAACAGGCTCTGGCCCTCCTGTGCTGTTTGGCCTTCTGCCAAACCTTTGATGGGGTCGGCTCTGGGACAGCGAACAATTGGACACAAACCTGCGGATGCTGAAGCTAGCTTTTTTCCAGCGAAACGCCGTCGCGGTGTACATCGGTTTGTTCCGATGCGCAGCGGAGTTTGCCGGTGTACA